GCTTTGAGGGTGAAGGCGTCATCGGGTAACGTCCAATTCTCAGCTTCGAGTCCCATTTTGGCTATCTCTACCAGAAAATTGCAGCAAACACTGACCGAGCGTTGAGTGAAGAGTTGGATGCGCTTAGCACTTGACAAAGACGTTCCAGAATCGAATTCACTGATCAAAATAAAGGGCGGTATTCCCATGGAATTCACATGCTCTACCTCACCTTCGCAATAAACCGTGTACACAACTGCTACTTGTCCGCGTTAATTACGCTTGAGCTTTACTCACACTGACTTAGTGCGGGCCTGACTACACCAGGTGAGCCGTGTTGTCAATCCGCAGATGTGAAACCTGTCTACCGTTGTATGAGCCTGCCAAAACACACTCAAGGTCAGTCTTCCGTCAGTCTCTTATTCATGGTGTGGTTGTGAGTCATCTCGTTGATTTTACTTCTGGGCTACCCCAGCGGACCGTGGCCGCCTCCATCACACATTCAACGGTTAGTAGACGTGTATGGCAATCAATCCAAGTGCCGATTGGTTAGCTTTTGTGTGCGAAGCGGTCATGTGAATCGCCCGAATACGAAAAGTATATCGGGTCCCAAATGAGCTCGTGTATCGCAATGCTATCACTCCGAAACGTACCATCATTGATGCATTACTTTTGCATAATGTCTGTGCATAATTGTTACATTTATTATAGTTAAGGAAACAGTACGGAGACGTTGGAGTATAAACCACCACTGGGGCACTGAAGGCCCCAAGAGCAAAATGAACTGAGATACATAAAAAGGGCTCGTCTGCAACGCTGGCCGATTGAAGGTCACGTGCTCTAAACAAAAGCTGATTCATGTAGCACGCGTTGTTGGTAGATCCGGAACTTCGAGTAACGTGTATATTACTTACAAGCAGGAACTGGTGAATCGCTTCGGTATAGAAGCTGTAAGTGCGTGGTGTTGTCTTGGCAAATTGCCAAAAATGATGTTATGCGTTATAAGTCGAGCAGTAGTAAGTGCAGACAACACGCCGCATGGCATTCTTTGCTGACAACGTAGCACAACTTGCATTGTTACTTTCTAGCGGAGCTGCTTGAGGGCAGTTTGTTGTTTGCTTCTGAGGGCTCGAGAGGATAGCGTAAGATCAAAAGTGATCGAATCGCTTTTGTTTATCCACTTTGGTTCTCACGCATTGTAAATTTCTCTAGGTCCTGTTTAGTAGGTTGAATAGGTCCGAGTTTACCCAACCTGAAATGTGTATTCTGCCACCTCAATTTCCGCCTGGAGCCGGCAGGGTCCTGTTAACGAAATTGAGTCTTACAACAGAAATAGGGGGCATTGGTTACCTGTAAAATATTCAACGACTACTCCATACGAACGACACTGCGAAGCTTGCTCTCATGTGGGTAGCCCAACAAATTGACTGAGGCGAATCGTAACTCCACAAGTCGGGTGTCGACCAATGCGAGTACGGCTTTGAACACGAAGAAAGCCACAAATTACCGGATCGGAAAGAGCGGTACAAAGCACGGGTTAGGGTCAGTGGCGGAAACCACTTGGCGTCACGACATGCACAGAACAAAGTCCTCCTGAAGACCAATCAGTGCATGCGTGTGGTCCAGCTGCCGTTGTACATCTGAGCCCCCAAGTTGGGTCAGGATGACCAGATGGCCAGCCAGGAAAGGGGGCAGATAGTTCCTATGACCAACAAACATTAATCTACTGCTAGTGAGGAGGTTTGTGCTTCGCAAGTCCATCGGGTATTTTTATCGGCGTATGTAGCACATTCTGGCAAAAAAACCGTTGTCTACTTTGAAAGTGTGAAATGAAATGAATGAAATGAAATGTGTCAGCTTATACGCCGTAACGGCGCTTCGCTGCCGCGCGACCACCACCAGTCGCGCGCGGGCTGAGTATACCGCGAGGACGCCCACCCCTACGCGGATTCGAACCGGTGACCTTATGGTTGGAAAGCAAACGTGCCAACCACTCGGCCACCGGCCGACTTAAGGTATGCACTCTGTCAACAGATATTGACTAATAAAGCCAAAGCAACTAGTCCGGTTTTGAAAGATGGGACACTTCTATGTGGCTGAAAGTGAGTGATAAAGTACATCGTCCAACCATCTGTTGTTATGTGTGGCTAACCTAAGTATGGGAAAACCGATTTTCGTAAAAGAAAATAGTTGCGGCATTCCAAGTGGTTGTGCTGTTCCATCATTTTCATGGAGTTGTCTATGATGGTTTGTGCTGTTACCGAGCTCCAGTAAGAAACAACTTAAATGAGTTAGATTGCGCAAGCAAGCCAGCATCAGGTCACATCTTGAAAGGTGATGCAGTCCACTACCTACTGCCCAGGATTTCAACCAGAGAATATGTCAGATGGTACGCGCCAATTATATATCTGTTGGCCCAAGTTTTATTATGATCCCGAGTAGTAATACTGTATTTCTGGTTAGATTATCAGGTTGAGTCGCGTATTCGGATGACAACAACTGCGAACATTGAGTATTTGATGGAACATAAGCTATGCTCACTGTCCGAATTTCTTCATGAGCTCGACGTGTTGTTTGGCAGCTTTTAGGTCTTTTTCCCAGCACTTGGATCAGCCCAAGTTAATCTGAACCAGTAAACAGTTCACATTTGAATGAAGTGCTCTTCTGAGCTCATGCTGAGCATCACCACATCAGTAGACAGGTTCGGCTACTTCTTATGCTATTCAATCTGATGTGGTTATTTTCATGTTAAGGACACTCGGTCCCTTTGGTGCCTTCTCATCTACTCCCGCTTAACGCGATGAGCCCTGGTCCAATACGTTTAAGTTGCTCAGTCTACTGGTTCTTGCAAGTTCTAGTTTTCACGTCATGTTAACTCCTCCCATCGTAGATACCACTGCGTCCTACTTCTACGTCCCCCCCTTACGCACGCCATCCGTTGCTTTGACGGTACTTGACCACGATTACAACGGCTTTCTTGGACTACACAAGAGCGGGTGCTTAGCATTAAACCCAGCTCGACACTATATTATGTGCTAAATCCATCTGTATATTAATTGAGAGTTCATCACATCAGCTTCCAAATCATAAGGTCCACCACATTCCCGGAAAAGCACTAGGCTGCTGTTTCGACCTGTCAGTCACCAGCAGTAGTGCGCGTCCATCGGATACATAAGGATGTGAATCCATGATCCTCACCGGTTTGCACCGCCAGTCAGCAGCTTATGACACTGGGCCACGGGCGCATGGCTTTGGAGCATCATGATTTGCAAACTAACTGGGATATAGCGCGTCTTATACTCCACTGCCACGCAAGTTACGAACGTTGCAAAGGGCAGAGTTAGCCCCTGAAATACACGACATCCACTGACAGTATCTATGTACGACATAGCAGTTAGAACCTGTAGGGCGGATATACTGATCTACCCCTGAATAGGGGATTTTTTCATGTAATTAGTCGAGAGTTCATCATCCTAGCTTCCAAATCAGTTAGCCCTCCATAATTGGAAGCTCGTGCGACGAACTCTCGACTGATTGCATGAAAACCCCTAGTCATGAGTACATCAACATATCCGCCTTACAGTTTCTAAATGCTGTGACTGACACACCTACTGTCAGCGGACGTCGTGTCTTTCAGAGGCCAACCCTATCATCTGCAACGTTCGTAACTTGCATGGCAGTAGAGGATAAGACGCGAAATATCGCGGTTACTTGGTAAATCATAACGGTCTGGAGCTGTCCCCCGTGGCCCAGTGGCATAAGCTGCTAACTGGTGATGCAAGTGGCTTGTGGTCATGGATACGAATCCTGATGGATCCGTTGGATGCGTACCATCTGTATGTTTCCTTTACCAGTTCAAAATTGGGTCATCAAACTAGGGGTCATCGTGATGGTTGTCTGTGCTTTACTCAACGCCACGTGGTGGCGCTTCACTCATTTCCATATGCTAGATCTTGGGGGTTGCTTTCTAACTGTGTTTGTAGTACCTATGTCGTTCACCATACGTTCATGTCCCGACGTTTTTTAAACGATTGAATGACTCAGAGTAGTCCCTTTGTTGCCATTCTATCCAGTCTCACCCAGTTGTTAGTTGCACCTTACATGTGTGTGAATAGTGGCCCACTCCGGATTTTGACTTCTGAACCAAGCAGAGAGTTCCAAGTGTTTATTCAAGTGCGAAAACTATTCTTCATCTACACGGAGCTCCTCTCTAAAACGCTTGGTTTGTGCAGCACAAACGCATTGAGCACACCCTGGTCACATCAATCTGCCGAAATTTGATTGACCGCTCCCGGTGTAACCAACCGGAGAGGTAATCTACTAATTTGAAAAGCCATCGGTTAGTATAAATCTCTTCTTTAAATGTCTTATTCCATAGGCCTCAAGAAAGCCAACTTATATGCACCCGTGGTTGCCGTCATATTTTTGTCGTTGCCCACTTGAATTTGCAATGCTAGCGGCACTACATTGGTCAGTCGGTTCTTTTTGGAGTGAGATGCAGTCACCCAGGGGTTGCTTGATATTGTGGTTAACTACTTTTGATTCGATACTTGCTGTTTCATAATGGAAACCAGTGCAATTTCAAACAGTAGCATGTGACGAAAATTCTAACATTTCAGTTAACTACGCTCCTCCGCTTATCCACCCTTCCTTGCAAACTGATCCTCGGTCACAGCTCAGCAGTAGGCGGACTCTGTACATATCGAGTTATTAGCCGTTATAGCCTACTAGGATGGTGTGCACAATCTTCAGCTGAACTGTATTATAAATGCGTATACGCTTAAGCCAAAAGTATGAAACAAAGGTCGCAATCTACTGGAAAGGTTCTCTTCTGAAATCAACATTCTCATGATCACCATCTGCAAATCAAGCTTCCTACTCCCAGTTACTTGAACTGTTGTCCCAGTGATTTGTCTCCGAAACAATTGATCAATCGCACACCATTTTGAGTTATGGCTACGGCTACGTCACTTAGCTCGTTTCAGCTGAAAGTATCTGTCTCACCCTCCTTCCCATTTCAGCCAGAATACACGGCTGATTATTCTTTGTGGCGAACGAATAATTCATTGACCCTGATGATCCCGAGGGCGCGACCAGAGCTAAGTGGCTCCTACGGGCTGCGCGTTTATAGTGGCACCGAAGTGTTCCGCACGCAAACAGAGCTGATTGTGGAACCATCCAGATCAAGCGGCTCCACTTACAAACCCACGTGAGTTGTGCTTTCAATTTTCTCGGTACCGAGTCTACAGGGGCACCAGTATTACCGAAGCTACACAACGATACTAACGGTTGATTTTTGCATTTTAAACACAAGTACTTTTGTGGTTGGGCCAAATTCAAGTAGAAGTTCTTCTAGTGTGCTTCTGGTCAGTTCAAATGTTGGGAATTGACTGCTGTTTGCGTTGTACACAATATGGAGGAGAGTCAGTAAAGTGCCTTACTGTTTTCATAACTAAAGTGACGCAGATGCTGTTGTAAACAATGAAATAGTTTTGGACATATTCCTTCTGATGCTCAATGCATATGCGCCAGCATTTGATAAGTTGGTCACCTCCTGGGTAGGGAAGAACTTTTCGGTTGATTGTGACCCACTCATGTACAGCTGGTTGAGTCGCTACGTCAGCTTTGAATTTTCGCCTATCAAGTACTTTTTTTAGTGGTCCAAACACGCTTCATCGTGACCACTGATTTAATACGGATGAGGTCAATGCTTCACAAGTCTCGTCGGATGGTAAAAATGCAAAAGTAAGGCCAGTTGGCGCATGAAATGATGAAAGTATTATATATTAATGACAATGAAGCGGATGTTTCGAAGGTATCGGTGCTTGATGAAAGTGGAGACCTGGGAATTGAATATAAACATACACAATTACAATTAACGATTCTAGTGACTGACATAAAAACGCTTATGCCGATTCTGCTTCCCATGTATCCATGTGATATATACTTCTAATATTGGTGGATAACGGAGAGGCATTTCAATGTATCACAGTTATATAACTGCGTGAAAAGCGATAAACATTGTCCAATCAATTTTTGATGATGGCGAAAGTGGGGGAAGTAGAAGCTGGGTCTGCGAAGGCGCTCCAGGCCTGACAGACTCGAAGTGAGATTTCATTCAGTTGGCAATCTAGACGCTTGCATTGCTCACGTAGTTTCAAGTGGTTAATTCTGTCGTCCGTGTTACGGCTTGGCTCCCACTATCGACGGCTTGTGTGATTGGGATAACTGCATATTTGATGGGCCAAAATGACATCACTACGTGACCTTCGACAGCGTCCGCTGAAAGCTCCTGTCTTCAGTCTTCGCTTTACGAGAGGTGTCACAGACCTTTGACACTCTTCGTCACCGGATTTGTGAATTTCTGGCTAAGGTAGATTAGACTCGGTAATATATTTGACTCAAGGGTGCAGGTAAGAATTGTGCATCATGAGGGAGATGGTTAAGACTCCCGTGTTTTCTCTACAACAGCCTGATATGTTTAATGCTTATTTCTGAGGCTGTCTCATAATGCTCAGAAAGGCCGGACTCATTCTGTGTGCTCACATCAAACATGCGTTCCTCGGAAGAGACATGTGTTAGGAATGCCAATGATATGTTTGAACAACCCGGCAATTTTGCACATTGAATGTTAGGATATTCTGAATAGACAGATTACGAATTTCATCAAGCTTGTAGTAGCGAAAGTTCTGGTTGTCTGCTCCCCTAAACGCTTACCATACCTTTAAATCATCCGCCATGAGTAGGAGGTCATACATAAAATTAAGAAAGTTATGACCTAGTACCAAACCACGTGGTACGTCGCATTCAAGTTAAAATCTATCGGATTGAGATACCGGACTCACCTTCATGCAAAGTTGATGGAAAAATTGCAGACCCAACTCAGGATCGGAACGCCGATGCCATAATTCTGAAGCTTGTGGAGCGGAATACAAGGATCCCAGAGGCACAACCAGCGCGCTAAGCGCTGGTGCTTATGCGGAAACTTGGGGAAAGTTAACAGAGCACCTCGTTGCATTGGTATTGATAAGGTGCCGGTAAAGGAGTTCTACATGTAGCAGTTACTGACATGGAAACCCATACTCACCAGCGTACATAAAGTTGGTTACCGCATGAAAGATTCAGCCGCCCCCCCTGTGAAAGAGACTTCGCGCGCCAGTTCGTTTTCTATCGTGTCATTTCCTTTCATGGTTTACTAAAACATAAGCAGGCAGAACCCTTCATGAAAGTAATCAACAGTGTCCTTCTTCTACTTAAGTTCATCTGTTACAAGTTAGGTGAGATCCACTCCAGCCGTACTTTGCCACTCACCACAAGAGGAAGACACTAATAGGCATCGGGAGTTGCTTTAAACGTCAGTGGTTTTCTAACGCCATGTCTGGTTGAACTGCATTTACAAGTTGCATACAAGTCTATCCATTTCATCGTTTTTGACCTGCGTACCGTTATTGTACATTTAAACGTATGAAAAGGTGTTTTTACCAGATCCTGTTAAACTGTATGAGTTGTTCAGCTGGTGTTTTGTAACTACAATCCGCCTGATCAAGCATATTGTCCCTTCGATTTTGGCTCACTGCCTGAAGTGCAGTGTTTCATCAGGCTGCAACCTGAATAAACAGAAGGAAGGGATGTTTATAGGGTCCATAGTGTGCGAAAGCGTTAAATTGATCTTCAGAATATGAATGATGATTGAAGGGTTTCGCTGTTGCTCCTTCCAATCCCTGCACTCCATGACGCGTTTCGTCTTGGTTTTGACTCTTTAGGTAGAGATGGTCTGAGATGGGAGTGGAACTCTGCACATAGTTGTTGGCGGCTATCGCCATAGCAATTAGACCATTGAGCTCCGCGAGCAACGTACAACATTTATTTGCATTAAGTTTTCTTCTAATTACAGAAATCACTGTTTTGTTTTACTATCACTTTTCTAAATTTTCCTACAAATTAAGTTAATTTATGTATTCCGCCGTACTTTCCAAGCTGTTGTCATAGCAACGAAGTTCTTATTAGTCTGTAAGTTTAAGTTATGCGCAGGTATATGCACACACATCTGTTACGTTGATGAGCGTTCACTCATTAGAAACAGCCGTTTTTTTTACTATTTTTCACCTTTTGAAACGGACTACTAAATTGCTTCCATGCAATAACTTGTGTTCTTTTAGGTATACGAATATCCAACCATTGTAAATCTAGAAATACCCTTTAAATGATGAAAAGTTATTGTTTATTGCAAGAATCGAGGACGTTAGAAGCTTCTATAAACAGTTACTCTTTTACTGTCCTATATTTTTATTTAAATTTTCGTGCTGCAGACGGATGGAACACCAACTACCTTAAACACTAGCAATGTGCAGGGTTTATACCACGGTAGAACAAGTTCTAGGTAGGTAACCTAGCTCAATGTAACCAGTTATAAACGCATTCATACATTTGGGGTGATAAAGAACAAAGTACTGCCTGCAAGAGAATTACAACATGAGAAAAAACAAAAGTGGTGGTATTTAGCAAAGTCGCGTGGTCTTGCTTTCGTTTCCAGTGTAGAAATGTTGCATCAGACGGAATCTCAAAGTGACGCAAGAAATGCGAAGACTCCCGCTATCACGCTTGTCCACACTCCATCAGCGCATTCTCATCACTGAGCACCGTTAATCACGGTTGAGAAGTGCAGCCGAATGGTCTTGCTTTCCGTGTGAAAGTTAGTCTACATGTGACTGACAACGACCAAAGATTGACGCGGATGTGAAGTCAACCATCCGGTCGCAGATTCGCCCCCACTTCAACCGAACTTTGATGCAGCAGGTTGCCATCTCTTGTGTAAGAGTAACACACTATCAACCGTTCACAGCTGTTCCAGTGAAATTTCTGTCCTTGCCTCGTCAAAACCCAGACCAATAATTATCAACTAATTAGACCAGGGTTTTCAAACTTCCCCATTGTCCTTGGTTTAATTGCGATGCATAACAGCTGCGGTCGCACCTGGTTCACGCACCTATGTCGTGTTTTATCCTCAAAACAGACTCGCTGATGGCCTAAAACCTCTGTTCACAAAGCGACTTCAAGATTTCGCTGTGGACGTGGGTGATTGCGTTCGTTTTACCGCTCGCATTATGGCAGAACCACCAGCAATAATTGTATGGTAAGTTGCTTGGTTGTACATTGTTTACTTAACACCCGTTAAGTGATCGGAATCCAATTCACTTCAACGCACCATATGTAGGATCCAAGTATCATTGTGAGATGAACGCAGTTTCCTTAATCGATGCATAGGACTTAAAATTCATTAACGATGACACAAAAAGCCGTTTGGATATAAGAATTAACACGACAACGCGGCATAGTAGAATAGCTATCCGATGAACTCAGACGATCCGCTGATGCAGTGCAGCATATTTCTCCATTGTGTCATGTGAGCTTGCGTTCCAGCCTGTCAGTGTTGCCGATCTCAAGGCACCCATCAAGAGAGATGTGCGCATACCAGCAGCGCGACGCATTCCGTAATCTGTTCACCACACATTTTCATGTTGCGGTTGACTGGTTACTCTAGGGCAGCTTTTCACAGTGTGGTCCGCGGATCCCCAAAGAGTCTAGGGGATAATTATAGAGGGTCGGCGGGATTGCACCGAAATATTATAATTTCGTTAAAAATTTTAGACGTGGTCATTTTATTTTAGAGTTCACAGATAAACGTGCAGTTAAAATTTGTTAAATGGATCCGATGGTCTATGTCAGCCCTGTGAGTGGCCCATGTAAGACAAATTTTTTTCAAGAAGGAACTTGGATTTGACAGAGAATTAAAATGTCAGTGTAAATTGCTGTCAAACGTCAAAAGGATAATGTGGTACCCTCACCGTGATGCGATGGGTAGAGCCAGGATGGGTCATTCCGCATCCAGGCAAGATCTTATAACCCAGCCTGTCCTCCTGGGTAGGCGAAAAATTATTAGTGACATATGGGCCCTTTTTGCGGTCATTACGAAACTTGCTATCTTTTGAAATTGACAAATCGGAAAGGCATATGGGTGCAGTCCAAACCAGAGAAGCCTCGAAAGAAAATGTGGATATTCAACGTCCTACGAGTGTGTTCATTTGGCTTTTCAACTTGAAGAGCGACGTTACCAAAAAGTGGATGATCTAGTGGTTCTGCTTGCAAGATTGTACAGCGTTTGAAAGATTGGGTCGAGGTCTTGTCTCAGTATTTCTCCAGCGAAGATGAGGAAAAACTGAAAGCTTTTTCATGGGTCAAGAACACATTTATTTGCAAGGAAAAGCTTCATCCTTTCACATCTCTGCAGTATGAGGAGTTAATTGACATGATATCGGATTTATCCCTACAGGAAAGGTTTCACGAAGTGTCGCCATCTGATTTCGGGTGTAAAACGAAGGACGAGTATAATGACATAGTGAAGACAGCTGTCACCGTGTTTAACTCAAATGCCACAATTTATCTGTGTACAAGTGCGTTTCGCATTACACATGTACAAAAACAAAGTACCGCGATAGATGTGAAGATAAACTGGATATAAGTTTGCAGTGTTCCTCAATAACGACCAACATCAAGGAAGTCAGCACCGAATTTTAGAAACAATTTCATCCGACACATTATGGATGGAAGTACATTTTCTACCTACATTAAACATCTTTCATATTTTAGAACATTAATTAAAACCTGTGTCAATTCAGTGTGCGCTTATGAACGTTTTTGGTAGCCTCGCCCTATGCGTATTTCGTGAAAGCCTAGTTTTTCTGTTGGCATGATTTCAGGGTGTCTACCCTGCGCGCTTCCACTATAATGTGGTCCACGGCGCAGCGTCGCTCTAAAACTTTGCTCAGTAGGTGCAGCATCGTTAAAAGATTCACAACGGGTTTGACGAGATGACTAAAATCCAAGATGTGATGTAGCCTGTGTGAGCTGTGTTCCGATGGGCTACCAAAAAGTCGGGAGGCAGATCTTAACAGACACAAAGGCACGATAGAACCTTGCATGGATTCAGTTTCACTGGGCGGCATTTTCATCCCAGTTTTCTAAGTGCAGCTACTGTGATAAGGTCAACAAATTGGCCTCAAACTTACGGAGTACTGATGCTCGGGATGTACTCCGATAGTGTTAGTGAATGTATTCCATTCTGCAAACGTCTGCTTTGGTATCTTGTCATTCAGAACCGAAAGTCTGTGGGATTTATGGAAATCATCATCATCACCTCAGATATTGTGCCGCAATACACGAGAAATGATAACAAAGAACACGTACAACAGATGCAAACCAGCTGCGCTATCAATATTGGATAGGCATCGTTCCGGAATGCCACCAGCCGGCTACTATGAAGCAAAAATATTATGCTACGCAAAATTTCTATTACTCTAAGAAATGAGATCACGGTTAGAAGGGGAGGCTACTTGGAATGGCGCTGGACAAAGAAACTCACAACGCACGCGCCAATGAGGTCGACTCCTAGCCATGTCAGCAAGTATGTTGAGCTAAACTTGTTCATCGTCCTTCGGTCCCCAACCAGGGAGCCGAGAGGTTCCAGCCGAAGCCAACTTCGAATTAAGGGTCTTCATTCCTCTTGAACAAATCATTCCCTGGCCACCTCTCCTTTTCTTCCATCTGCACCCCCAGGCACGTAAACAACGCACGCCGCGGGACTCGGTGGGCTGGCATGCTTAACAAGTGGTCGAGCCATCGGAGCCTGGTGCATGAAACAACGATGTTGAGTGGAGCACTTCTTCCTGGGTCGTAAACTAGGCGTCGAACACGATCTTTGCTCACACGGTGTTCCCACCAGATGTGAGCCAAACTGCGAAGGCACCAGTGGTAGAATCTAGTTACTCTCTTTAAGGCTGCCGATTTAGTGGGTATAATTTCGCAACCGTATTGTAGGGTCGAACGTACGGCTACGTTGTACACTCTACTCTTCAGGGCGAGAGTGATGTGCTGCCGGCGCCGTAGGTGACGAAGGTTAGCAAAAGCGAATCGTGCTTTTGCTATACTATTTGTGACCATGTCTTCAATTCAAACGGCGCTGATAAAACTACCTAAGTAGTTGAACTTTTGAAAGACTTCTAGCTAATCCCTATCAAGAGTCAGCGCAGGAGGCGGTCTATGCCAATCTATGAGGAAAGCTTTGTAATTCGAGGGTAAAAACTATAGCCCAAAACGGTTGACGGCAAGTGCTAATCTGTCCAGTGCCGCTTGGCATATTTATGAACTGTCACAGATGGGAGCAATATGGTCAGCACATTCCAAGTCAAGAAGTCATTCATCTTGGAGCAGCTCCGCACCTAAATCGTGTCCTCTGAACGCCATCTCCATGACTTTGTTGTTAGCGAAATTGAAGAGGAAAGGGGACAGCGGGCATCCTTGTCTTAAACCACTGAATATATTGAAGGGCGTCGACAGCTTATGGTAAGCCCTCACTCTGCCTAACCTACTTGCAAAGAGCGCTTGGTTAATAGTTGCATATTTCTCAGACACACCATTCCTGAGTAGACAATCCCAAAGCGCACATCGATCAGCCGAATCGAAGGCACCTTTGATTTCGAGGAACACTACAACGGTGGGCCGACAATATGTGCGATGGTGCTCCAACAATTGGCGCAAGGTGAAGATATGGTCAATGCGGCTACGGTCTCGACGAAACCCGGCTTGCACTTCACGAATATGTCTTTCACGAGTGCCAGTCAGTCTGTGAAGGATGATTTATGTAAATGATGTCCCGAGATAAGAATTGCCAGAGAAATAGTTTTCAGTTTCCACTCCCGTTCATGCGGTTTGAACTCCGTGCCAACCGCCTGATCAGCAACTCGATAAATCCACTTCAGCTCACATGAAATGCGCGGCCAAGTATTCATAGGGCCATTTGTGGATGCTATGTCGAGAGCCACCTGCACGTAGATGGGGGAAAATATCCCGGACATACGCAGCTCATCGTTAGATGCTACATTCTTTCAGGTTCTTTTTGTGTTACACATTCTAGACAGTCTGCGCACTATCGTAGCGCAGTCTGGAGAACATAAACAGCGTAATTACAGAGCATTTCTAACTTCGGTTCTGTTATGATGCGAATCCAGGCTTGCCTGTAGCATCGGCCATAGATGTCGCGGGATGGAGCAGTTTATACGTCTGTCAATGCAGATTCGATTGGGTCCACGTGCGGCTGCATTCAATACACCATGCCTGATAGCTTTTATTTTGCGTCGTACAACTGGGTGCCTGAGATGTAGATTTGGACGTCACTTAGATAAAACAAGCAATTGCACATCCCTGAGATACTGTACTACCATCTGCTCTCAGGTTAACTGTTTGACTCCCGTCTGGTGCATCTTTAAATATACAATTGTGACTGATTGGTGACTTGCACGAAATCCAATTAATACCTATAAAATGGTGACAGGTCATGTAGTCCGGACTCTTCCATGACTACTCATATTAATTAGTGTTCAATGTTAGCGTTGCACTTAGCATAGTACAACCCGCGTTGTATTCTCACTCATAGTTGCACCTGTATTTATACGCTTGTCACTGGACCGCAGGCAGTTACACTGATCGCATGGAACTAGGTGGCTAAAATAGCTGTTCGGCTGGTCAGACCATTCCTATTAGCCTGAGGAAAAGTAAGATTTATTGATTATCCAAACATTCCTGTTGACCCGGTAAGCACTAAGCGAAACTGGCCCCATCGTAAACGAATACAAATTCGCTTTCCTGTTTAGCGCAAACATTTAGACTAATGTCGCCCCTCTTATTCCACTAACCCTCACACAGGAGACATAATGGAAATGTGATCACCGGTGAACATCGCATCAGGCTGCTTAACGACGACGCACACCCAAGCCTCACCATCAGTCGGGTGAAACCAAGCGACCGGGGCCGCTACTCTTGCACAGCCACAAACAGTCTGGGGCGCGCAGACACGGAAGCAATTCTGGAAATCAACGGTCCGTTTTGCACTATTCACCATTGTTTCGCTCAATCACATTAAATCAAACTTGGCAGTAACCGCACCAATACCGATTATCATCCACTGAACTGCTTGATAGGTGCTTTCTTTGTGAGATTCATCTCAAAAGCTTGTTCAAAATGCCAATCAATCGCCGCTAACCTCCGCAACACTCCTGCTGAATAAGACAGATGCTATGGTGATCGATGGGGATATGCGTTAAGTAGTTAGCGAAGACGAAGCGCACTATTTTTACAGTGGTGCGTCCTCGGGACACTTCACACGGCACCCACGTGGACAAAAGCGGAGCGAAGTCTTCAGAATGGAGTTGTACATACCTGAAAACAGCACTTTTGATAGGGGAAGTTAACAACTGCTGTACGATGGTGGATGTGGTCCGCATCTCGAAGTGTTGAAACCTGTGCCGCATTGCAACCGGACTGCTCTCTACGTTTCGTAGGAAGCAAATATGAGATACTTGTGGACAGACAGTCTTGGTTCAGGGTTTCCTGCCACAAGTCATCATAGCTCGCACAGCCCTTATAGGGTTACGATTTGAGTCAGCTGGTCGACAAGGCATTAAATAACAATTTTTCTAGATGCAGCCCAGCTGACTGTTCGCAGCCACGCTACTGAGACCAAATTTTAAGTACTCCAATCCTCAAGTTACCTCACTGACCCGCTCTCACCTTAGAGTTCGGCCCAATAGTGCGAAAGTCAGTAAGCCAGCTTTTTCCTGAAATGCAAGATGCTGTTGCATTCCATCACATGCAGTTATGCTCTGCGTACATGAAGCGCCGCTCACTCTGAAGTGAAGAAATGGCTTCCTTTATTACAGTGCACCACCGAAGTACCATGGGTATTATAATACCGATAGCTTAAACTTGCAGTCGAGATAAGGTCGCATTTGGGAGGTGCCGTTAGAACAAAATGCGTCGAGGTTGTACAGAACCAAAATTACAACCTGACGGGCCTGTTAAGAGTACCAGCTTAAAATATTGGTGTCCAAAAAAAGCGCTACTATGACGCACACCCTATCGCTAGAATGAGCAGCACCATGAAGTAAGCTAAAGGCTTGAAATGACCCAAAGGTGGGGCCACTCTGGGTTTCCATTTCGCGGCTGACATCAACTTATCACTTCCCAAGAAGTCAATGAACGGTCTGTATTTACTAAACCAGTGGTTTTCTTCAGTTATTTGGCCACAAGAACAAACCAGTTGACATAAACAGCAAACGATCAACTATGGATTAAGGCAGACGCCACATTTTAAATCCACCTTTAACATTGCTAGCTTAAAAGACGCAATGATATCAGCCACGTGTAAATGCGGCCGACTTGGCCTATATGCATCCGTTGGTGATTTTGAGTACTGTCTACGAAAATGAGATGCTAATTTTTGGTGATTTGGGACCACTTCGTGCGTGTCTGTTCGCATAATCCCGACGTATGCGAAGAGGAATATAATCGTATTTGCCTATCAAAATACTCATTTACCGGCGGATAGTGGTGGATTAACTTCGGAGCTGACAGACTATGTCCCACACATAGAAACATTAGCAACATGGGGCGAACAATAGATGCACTGTGGCCAACACACCTATTCAGGTAACTGAAGTTATATGCAATTCCCTCCCTGGGATTTAGCGTGTAAACAACGGTGTTAAGTCGGCTTGGCGTAAATCTTACGAATTAATGTCGTAATAAACTACCAAACAACGATGTTTGGCGAGAAAAGCAATTGTCTGGTTCTAAGACCAGCTCTTATTTGCTAGTTGGTGCCAACCATCTGACCAAATGGCTTGCTCTACAGGCCAAATAATGCGCCTAGTAGTCTTGCTATCTGTTAAACATCCACGCGTACGTTCAGATCGTCCAATGCACCTTGTTAATCTGGATGTAGATGTGCTCCATCGACCGGTCGCTTCGGTCTAACTTTCCACACAGTGCACGTTTGAACCAGGTCACAGAGTATGACTGCACACACGTGTTAAAAATAAGATGTTTGCGATCGGGCTGACCAAACTTATGCAGGGATTTCTTGGTCGAACCTAACTAATCGGGCTTCATGTCTCCATCTATTACAGATACTGAACAGTTCGCACCCAGCGACGAAAGTGAGGACGATCACCTGAAGACTGGCAGTGTTTTGACCGCTGAGCACTACCACAGGCGATCCGGTGGGTTATTTGGGTTGCTGATAGCTTAAACGCCACGTACTTACTCGAATTACCATGGATTTACTGTGCTCCCCTTCTTGGGGGAGTTCTAGAGTGGATATCACCCCCTGCACTACATCAACGTGAGAAACAGTAAAATACGGACGTGTTACTTGGTAATCATTAATTCAACACTGTCCTACTTCGCCAGCATCCATAGCCCAGCGCCTTAAAATGCTGAACTACAAAAGGAGTGATCGTGGGTTTAATCACGCAGGATTTTGAGATGCCTCAACCGGACGATATGATTATCCATTATGTTTCCGTAGATATGATAGATATATAGTTACGTCCAGTTGGGATAAATATACCTGAATGTTTTTTAATGGTGAATATTTTCTGGAGATGCACATTTCTGATGCGGAATCAGCTGTTGTGGAAGCCAGTGAGCGCTGCAGAAGTTTGTCTTCTCTTTCATGCTATGTGTCGGTTATGGAACGCCACACCCAACCCGCACGTGAATAGTGTGAACTGACGCTACCACACTGCGGTAAATTCATAAAAGTTCTACGAGTGGGGTCCTACGAGTCTTGAGCGTTTTAACCACGGTGACTATGCTAGGCCGAGGTTTCCATTGGATCCAGTACATATTTTGCTAGTCGTTTTCCGTTCCATCGCTCCCTCTATAGAATCAATCTTTACTGATTGTGGCCGTTTTTCATGGGCCCTATCTGACTGTGGATATGTCCATTTACGATTACAACCAGTAAGACTTTTACCTTTTCTGAACAAAATACAAGTCTTTATTAGTGTACTGAGAAGTGTCATAATGGTTAAACCGGGTGGAATACCCACGGCATTTTTGCATGTGCACGGAATTTTATTGTACCCGTTGCAGCATTTGCACCCATCAAAGATAGTTTGCATATCACCAAAGCATCCGGCGTTTGAAGCAGATATTCCTTATCATAACACGATCTAAAGTATGTGCGATAGCGTAGACAGTGATAATGCCTTTCATTTTGTGCACTACTTTCAATTGAAAGTGTACGGATCATGATTTATCACTTAATGAAAAAGTGTCCCCCCCTTCTTATTCAGGAATGCGTTTTGATGCACCCGGGAACAGTTAGTGCTGACAGTGATGTCGGTACCATTGTATATTTCTCGATAAATCAGGATACAGGCTTCTTAGTGGGGCCTACTCTCTGTTCTGCAGTTAGATCAAGTAATGTACCATGTTTTGTCGGGTGACGGCGGAACCGACCTGATTGTTCTTCTGTGTACCTCAATCTACTTCATACAATTACCAACTCTTCTCAAAAGATTGTGTCACACAAAGAACGGTTATTAGCAGAGCGGTTCGTGGGGTTTTTGGTGTTTTGCACTGGTAATCCCACTCCTAACTTCACGTGGTTGTTTGTTTTGACGCACAAAGTAGCTCACAGTTTTACTTTGCTCTTTTTAACTCCTCTTTTCAGCCCTGCCAAAAAGTGCTCCCGAACTTAGTGTAACCGCACTCGATGCTTCCCACGTTTCTCTTCATTGGACTGGCGTGCCACATTCGCAGGACTTAACGTACACCGTGGAGGTGAGCAAAGATGGAGGTAAATGGTGGAGACCCGTAATAACGGACCTGGTGGACACTTACGCCCGGTTGTCCACTGATATGGCGTCCCCGTTGAGTGCAGTACAAGTTCGTGTCTTAGCTGTCAATGAGTATGGTGTCGGCCCACCCTCCACAGCCTTGAAAATTCCGATCAGGGCATGTGTGCCTGTGATGCCGGCCGTCAAACCTGAAGTTGAATTCGAAGAGGCCGCAGCTGTCTTTATTCAGTGGCAAAAAGCGCTCCCGTCCATCACTGAGCCACAGGTTTTGCACAATTACTTATTCACTCCAGCCGCCATGCTTGGCACGGTGTGGTATGCAGTCGAAGTACGGGAAGGAGCACAGTCCCAATGGCATCGAGTGGCTGATAACATTTCCTCTCTATCACACAGTTATCATCTAACTCCTGGGTCAAGTTCGGCAATACGCGTGGTTGCTGTCAATCGATTTGGAGAATCTAGTCCAACCCCAATCGCACTGGCTTACTTGGATCCGAATGCGCTAGTTCCTAACCTGTCCATTGATCCACCTTGGGTTGCCGTCTCTCATGGGCCAAATCAAGCCGTTGGTCTTAAGGTGTACTGGAAGCCAGCATATATGCCCGAGTATTGTTCATCCTGCGTATCTGGGTTGGATCCATTCTATCGAATTGAGTGGAGACGGGGACGGTCTGGAATGTGGCAAGCTTTAGCGGATGATGTCACTGATGCGGAAGTTGGTTTCTGTCTCCCCAACCAATTGGTCATGAGTGTGTGGGACGACGCAAAACGCTTATCAGATCCCAGAAATGTGTTTTCTGTGCAAAACCAAGCTATAGAGCTCCGTGTGTTCTGCTGGAACAAATTTGGCGAGAGTGGCCCTACCAAGTCATGCCGGTTGCTACCTTCTCAGTTGTTCAGAGGACAGAAATACAAAACCGACGTGTTGGCTGCTGATAAATGCCAGGAACCAGCTGTACCTTCCACCGAATCATTTGAGGAAATGGACCAGTTACCGGTTCTTAGGGCGGATGATCACTACCTTCAGTTGCGAAGCCACATACGTTCGATCAGTCCCAGGGATGGAATAGAGATTACCTGGGACAAATTCGACCTTACAGACCTGCCGAATGGTTCATTTGACACACGACTGGACACTCACAACCGATATCGCATAGAACGACTGGGTCCGGATCCTGATAACCAAGATGCGTACGCTTGGAATGTCTGCAGTAACGAGACCGCTTTAATATACGGGGAAAACTTCGTTCTAGATGCACGGCCGGCCGAAGTGGAGCAGCTGTTCCGAATCCTCGCTTTACGGGAATCAGATGGTCATTCGTTTTGGATGGACGTCTACAACATCGTCCGCATCCCTACCCTTAAAGATCTTCGTCCCACCGCACCCACCGGGATATCTGTACAAAGTACTCCGGCCTCTGTAGCCAGTGGAACCCCCACAAACATTATTTCTTGGCAGCCATCGAGTCAACATTATCTTCTGACCCAGCTTTCATCAGCCCGAGCCACAGATTCTGGAACTGATGACACCTATTCCAATCCAAAAGTAAGATACCGTGTTGAGGCACGTCCGGCTTTCAATAATGAGGCAACGTGGCGGCAAGTGGCGGAAGTGAGTTCCGAGTCAACGCATGCTGTGGATCGGAAAGTGGAGCCAGGAGTTCCGTTGGTTTATCGCGTCACGCCAATTAATTTGTTTGGCGAAGGGTCATCGCTCATGTCTGATCCAGTGCACACACCTCTTCTCTACGCTACATTGGAAGGGTACGTTTCTGGTCGTCGTATGGGACTCTCCGGCCCCTAAGCTTCACGTTTTATCCACCAATTATCAACAAGTGCCCAGGGGCTGGGATGCATACTATAGTCTAGTATCTGTTTCCCTGGGTGAAGCGGTCCGCTAGATTTCAAGAATGCCGTGGATGAGCCAGTTAACCCATTGTATTCATAGCCTTTTCCTTCCGCACTTCTTAGATTGAAGATAGAAGAGCTCATATAGAAAGGATTAACGTATAACTATTTAATATTGATGCATCTTCTAATAAGATATGATCAGGGAATATATAGCTAGATTCTGGCAGTTTGCACTCTAGACAGTGGTACCATTGCGAGATGTAGTAAACTCTGTTAGGCACATTCCAACAATACTGCCTAGGGAGGTCTCTGCAGTGGTTGCTACTTTATGCACTAAATATGGTTAGTTGGATACAACCCGTAACCCCTAATGAAGTAGATTCGAATGTCACTATTGGTCTTGAGCGTTATTAAGGCAGGTTCTCACATTAGTTATCCCCATACTCGCAAAAAGGGTGATAAACTGCACACCACTTCATATAAACCCTATTCAATCTATGCGTGGTGGCCACCACATCTGTCTCCAAGTTCTTGGTGCATAAACTGTGTACGCTCAGGTAATATAGAGGGGAATAACTGCTGAACGGAAGTGCCCTCCCAGACACACATCTCTATGGATGTGTACCGGGGCGGTCTAGCGCTGGGTGAGCTTTGGAGGCCGAAACATTTCGCCTTTGTTACTATACTATGCCATTTCACAGGCAAAGTCACCAGTAATGCCATTAAATCCCCCAGTAGGTCATTCAAGATAGAACGTATCTTAGTCAAATCGGATCCAGCGGATCGGTGTGTGTACTACTGCTGACTGCAATTTGATTAAGGTACGAAATATCGTGACTGACATACGAAGAAATGTTACCGTGTTGAACTCAGAACCATGCATTTTGCAGTAAGCGCTTCAGACGTCTACGATTTCTAATATCACGACAATAGAACAATGGTTTTATATGGGTAAAATGCTAGAGCTTAACAGATCTTCTAGGAGAATCTCAGCGACAATTTTAAAAATCTGGAAAATATTTTCGGCAAAAGTAACTTCACACTCGTGGACTCACCGCGGCGTACTATTATAAGCTGTAAATCCACAAGGAATGATAACAAATGGGACGTGTTTAAAAATCATGCCGCCTCCTGGTGAACACATAAAAGAGGTGAAAAAGGTGCAATGTATAATGGGAGTTCACGGGCAGTGAAATCTCTAACAGATACTGGCGTTTGGTCATGGGCAATCAGCCATGCGAGCTGGTGCAGCGAACCGAGTGCATGGTCAACTCGAGCTTTGAACTCCACCAGCGTGACAGTATACATGGCAGATACCAGTAGGGAATTTTACGCTTGGTAAATGCGTACAGAAAACAAATTCCAACAACACTCCAAATAACTGTACTGCTCTGCCAGCTTGTGATGGTGGCTTCACAGATTACTTATGTGACTGAGCTCCAGTACATAGCGGCGCGTGTGGTTGTGATCCTACAAATTCTGGCAAGTCAAAATATGGTCCCCACGCAATCGCCGATATTGTCCGCTGAAGCCATCGTTCGTACAGTAAATAATGCATTCCTCTGACAAACTTATTTGCACGGCGTTGGGGTATCCCCAGGACGGTGTGATCTCTCCACAACCATGGCTTCCAGACCCGTGTTGCATATTTCACATGTGAACGTAGGTACGAAGCTGGAAGCAGTTGAAATGCTGATGTTCCGATTGGTCCGAATGCACGCCTCAGGAGGCGCACCAGTTGAATGCCCTACTTGACGCCTGTTCAGCCTGATTCGAACATCCAAAGTCAGTCTGGAACCAAACCGTTAGATCCTTTTCGCTAGAAGAGAGAGAACTGGTCTGTAGCTGTTTCGAAGCTTTCGCGATCCGCTTTGAAGCATCCGCAAAACTTCAAATTGAAGCATCGATAAAATAAACCGAATTTAAGAGCTCGTTTTGAGTCACGTACATCGCAAGATTCGGGCATTTTCATTCAGACACGCTATTTTGATGTAGGGCGTATAAACTAGGCTGGGGGTTGGCACTTTTGAGTGCCAAAATCTTACTCGTTAAATCCATTCGATTGACTCTCGATAAGTTTTAATTTGCATCCCAGCGTCCTTTGCGGAAGCTGTAACAGCCTATATCATCCCTGTCTTCAAATGATGATGTTTACATGGATATGTGCATTTCTGAATCAAAAAAATGCTGGTGACCATGGCGCACAAGTTCTGCACGTGATATGTCGCAGTTTATGTTGCGTCTTAAGGTACGAATTAAGATGACATTGTGAATAAAGGATCGCATGAAGCGACTGCGCTCCTCCTCGTGAAGATTCAATACCCATACTACAATCTACCTGCGAGAGTGACAAGGTATGTGATGATCCTCAATCCAACTGTTCGTCCTGCTCGATGTACAGGCTATTAAGCCGTTGGCATTCGCTCAACAACATTTCCCGATTGACTGCATCCCTAGTGCAATTGAATTGCTCACTAAGGCTCCGATTTGCATCCGCAAGTCAATTGAGCATCCGTTTTAATGCATTGAAGTACATCCGGTATCTTTCCGTCGCAACATGCGCTCGCAGTGTGCTTGCAACTGAGTTAGCCCAAAGCAGCCAATAACGAGAGATACAATAACCCTTGCATCGATGCATGAGTTGGTGCTATATGGTGGAGAAGCGTGGGCGCTTTAGCCTCTATTCAGCAATGGTGCCTAACCTGAAGCTAGTTCCGCGCAGCATAGGGGCACAAGGTTGCCCAAACACGTGGTGCGACTGGATGGAAGGTTCATTGGAGGTAAGTGGACAACCAGGTATGGCTTGCGAAGGGCACCAGTGGGGGGGGGGCTGCCAACACGGTAATGAGACACCCAATTAGCGATCTTATGGCTAGTTTGACACTAGCGCAGCCCAAGGTTTTGGACGATCTATCAATACTCAGGCATTCGATGGCACTGTGTCCGGAAAGCAGGCGCATAGCTACGAATGATCGGAGGCAATGGTGCCAAGCAGTTATGACAGGCTTGCAAGTAAAGCGACAAAAGTTGCCTACGCAACCGAAATACAGATTGCAAGTTGGCCTCTTGGATTACAGAGCGGCCGTCTGCGGGGAGGGATAGTCGAAATACGACTGCGGCAATTATTTTACAAGGCGAGTAGGCCTCGAAGTGTTACAGCAAGCGTCGCTTACCGTCATATTGGATGCAGTACACCGATTTGATGATCCCTTTCTACGGTAGTTGTACCTGCAAAACCTATAATTCCGCGAGGTCGATAACACACAATTCCCTAGCTAACGGCCTGTCAATACGTAGTCCACAATCACAGATTGCAGTACAATGATGTATAACGGGTCAAATAGATAACGCTTGACATGTCCCGTAGGATGGTCGTAATAAAGAGAGAAAAATTAAATAATAAACGTGCCAAAAATAGAGTGTGACATGGTTATTTAGCAGAGATACTGACAAGATAACTGGCAACTAATCACTCGCCAAAACTACATCTTCGGCACGAAGCGAGAAATTCGAGAACATGATTTTATACATGAGATCACCTTTATAATTCCAAATAAGAACATCAGAAGACCAAGGTTGTGGGAAGACATTGGTGGGACGACCTACCCGTGCTCGGGCCGGTTCGGTGTGTCCGGATGTCAAGACAGTCACGGGTGTATGACTGCGGATGATCCCGACCTGTGAGGCCCAAATGTTTTGGCGTGCTTACTAGTAAAATGGATGACAAAATGGGCCTGCGCAATTTGCCACGAAACTCTGGGTTGACAGGTTGTCCTTGTGGGTAAAAGGGAGATGTTTTGAGTGGCGCTCCAATGAGAGCGCTATTAGCAAATTATGCATGCAGCAATTTTGTATCAAGGTGAGTGAGCACTGCTTTGTTACAGCAGACCTCACTTTGTGTTATACTACTTATGAGCTGGTGTAACTAGAATGTGATAAGGCGACAGACTTTCTCGCTGAAGAACATGCAAGTTGGTGCTTTGTGGATAGCAGCATTTGCCACTGACTAGTGTAATCTGGGTGCGTCCAGTAAAACCATCACTTATTAAGTGGATGCTGGAAGGGTGAATTCTTTGAATGCGTAGATCTTTCGATATTGCATTTTGCAGCTTACACAGAAGAATGCGTTGTTATGCTCAAGAAAGCACGTGTGAGTAGTTCGGTTTCTGTTGTCAACTGATGACCGTATAGAACGTAGGAGGTGGACCACTGCGTCTACGGTAGATCACAAACTGCGATAAGTGTTCTGAAGCGTGTCATTCAAGCGGATTTGGGACAGCATCTGTTCAAGAATGATTTTCGCTTGAAACTTCTAGGCAAAAGAACAGCATGCGACAGGTCGATATTTGTTTCACTCTTTGCTTGGTACCAGTGCAATGCTGCCGATCCCAAGTATAGACTAGGTATGCACTTGATGGAGGCAGTGTAGCTGTTCCTTGCTTCGAACAGTGAGAGACCTCACTGAGATGCCTGCTATTTCTGTAAACCTACCTTCCTTAAGTCGACACAGCCACTTCAGATGGGGGGAAAAGAACCTGTCTGCGTATACGTTCAATTTTTCAAGGACAGCAGATATTAAAATAGAAGGTTGGATAGCTAGTCAAGTTATCACAACACTTGGATACGCCAATGTCAACGTATGTGGATGAAATAATTCCACTAGATCGATCGATGTTTTGTGAAAAGTCCTGTCCGCACATGAGCCTAATTACGCTAGCACAGTAATACCCCGGCAGAAGCTACCTTACTTATTTATCCTGACGACATCGTCCTAGGTATCAATCATGGGAACGCTGATTGCTCTAGCAGATTGCAAAATCATCTAAACGACCTCCATAGTTGGTCCAGACCTCGTCATCTCTCCTAATGCATCCGATTGCGATGCTATTCATTTTTTGTTACACAGAGGAACC